TAAAATTATTTTTATACCTGTGCGTGCCCGAGAGTGAGGAATTAAATCATACGTAATCCTAGATTTCCGCCCGTCGACAAACCGGCAATTATTTTATTCAATGAAATTTCCATTTACGATTATTTCCATTATTATCAAATTCATACACACGTGAGAAAATTTTATCCTCTTGTAATGATTCCAACCCGGCCCTTTTTTCTATTATTGAATCATACGCGCCAAAATTCCTTCCTGACAGGTTAAGGTCGTATCAGGAAAGTCTCCCTCTCTGTTTTTGTTTTGCTTCTTTACCTGCGACTGACTCTCTGAGGAATGCGTCGACAAAACAATTCTCGCCCACTGAAATTTCACACAATGACCATCGCTAATCCGAGCATTGGATGGCACATCACGGGACTATGCTAAGAAAACCCAGACGCTTTTCCGTGGAATTTTTTTACGATTGGTGCCTTTTTGTTGAAATACTATACAAATGCGTAATTTGAACGGGAGGCACTAAATGTTTCCCTGAATGGAAGGTTAAAAAGCGAGCGAAGAGCAGTGTATTATTATTGTGCGCCATGTGAAAAGCCCTGCAGGAGAATCAGTTTTCAAGTAGCCTTTTGGTGGCTTCCTTTCTTTCTTTCTTTCTTTCTTGTTATTATTTGACATGCGGCTAACTGAGTGAGTGAGAAATCATCTGTCTGTATAATTATCATGTCCTCGCGCATTATCATTCAAAAAGAGTTAATAATTTGTTTCAATCAATCATTTCGATAGAAAACCCAACGGATTATTATAAATAAGCCAGAAAATTCTCTCTCTCTCCGGTTTATAACCTCAAAGTGCACTCGTTAAAATTCCCTGAACGTGTCCTGCATTTTATTTTAATCTCTCGGAAAATCCGTTAGCGCCGAAATTGCCCAAGAAAACCGTTAAACTTGTCACTATCAGCGCAATTAAAAATAATTTTAATCGTCATGCGGGCTTGTTGTTTGAGACATGGACAATGCAGGAGACTAATCAGTTTGCCTCATTCCACGCGTTAACATTCCCAAGCTGATAAAAGCAGAGAAAAACGTGACTCTCCTTTCCCATCGCTCATTTTTTTCCTTCCTCTGCTCAAATAATAAAAACAAAAACAGAAGCTGCCTCTGCCTCTGGAGAAAAAAGCACTCGCATGTTGGACCAGGTAAATAAATGTGAAGCCATCCCTGCCAGGTTGGTCTCCCGAAACCGCGCGCGTCTCCTAATGCATTATGGCTGTTTCTCGGGATTTTATGATTATTATAACTGCATTCCTATCTCACTTGGGATACCTGCTGAACGCGAAGCGACGGCGTAATTATCATTTGGGCCGCAACCACGTTTAAAAAGGAAAATGTTTTCAGGAGAGCGAGGCAAAATCGTGACATCCTCTTATGTTTTCGACCAAACTAATCGATTGGCCATGCTATGCTACTTAATAAATTGGAGCACTTCTTTTGAACTCATCAGGTGTCAAGATATTAGTAAGGTCTAATGAATATAATATTTATTAGAATGCCATCCTTGAAAACAAGAACTATTTATTAATATCATCCACATTAGGTCGTATTCATTGATACAAATAAATAATAATATTAAAACTTTTTAAATTTTCTTTATGATCAATTAATTTTGTAAATAGTTTTTGACATATTAGTAAACAATTAATAAAAATTAAAAATATTAAAATAAAAAATTAAACGATTAAAAAACAAAATCATTTTAATTAATTTCTTCTACAATAAAAAATTTGACTAATTATTTTAAATATTTGATTTTTTTTGTAACTCATTGCAATAACTTTAATTTAAAAAAATTTTATTTTGTGAGAAGAGATTGATGGCAGTTAAATCTGAACAACTTTTACGCATTTTTAAAGCCATCATCAAGCACTACAGCTTAATGACGCTAATCAATTTGGAATTTTCTCGGCTCGACCTGGCCGCCAGCTAATTTTGACCATTTTTTTCCAGATATCACGTCCAGTTCAGTAACTTACGGAATGCCGTTTAATTGCAGGTCATGAAGCCTGCACTAAAAAATAATTAATTGCCCCTCGCTGCACTGCTGCCCGCCTCACCAACCGACATTTTTTTCCTCCAGACACTTCTGATGGAGTGTGCTGGGGATGTGAAACACTTAGGCCTACCCTGTCATATTTTCCTAAACCACCTGTCTTCCTGTTCTAAAAAAAAGTAACTTAAATTAAGTCGCAGGAGAATGGCGAGTATTGTGAGAAACGCGCCAAAGAGGAAGCAAATAAGGAGCCATCTGCTCCTCCACCACCGACAACAGCCTACTTGCACCAGGCAGGGGTGCCGAAACAAAATAAAGAGGAACGCACAGGGGGACTCTTGTGTGAGAGGCTTGCTTACATTATTGTTCGCGCAAGACGGGATGGAGCGCTTGAATAGAGAGTAGTGAATAGGAAACAGGCGTTGGAAGCAAAGAGTTTCGTGTGGTGAGGTGCGTGGATAAAAATAGAGAGGCTTATTTGTTTCTCTAATCTGATGGATTCTTTCTTCAAAATTCCATTCCCTCTCGGGAGAAGAATTATATAGTGTGCTGGAAATTTTCTCAGAGAAAATCGTAAAATTTTGAAAGCTTTTCACTTACAATGAGGAGAAAATTCTTGTAAGGTTTAATTCAATCTATTCCGGAAGTAAACTAAAAAAATTTTGATTAGCGAGTCATCTTAAAATTATGACGTGTTACTTTAGAAAGCAAAAATTTTGTAAAATTTTGCAGTTTCTGCATTAAAATAGCAAAAATATTTTAAACAATAAAACTATTCTTCTTCTCATTTAAAATTTTTTTTCACGTTTTAATTCAAAATAACACCTGTTCATAAATTTTGTGCATTTTAAAATAACAATTTCTCTATCCTAACGCTTCACTTCTGCTTAAGTACGCAGAAAAATAAGGAAATAGGAAGTTTCAAATTTCCATTTCCGACTGTCACCCATATCAATGTGGAAATGGACTATAAAGCCAATTTCATCAGCTGCCGCATGGAAATGTGCGCAGTGCGGTCCCATCTGCTGTCATGTGGATTTTCCCTTTCAGTCCGCGAGGATCAACGACACATCAGAAACACGTTCCTTTTCGATCGACTTTGCGCTACTCCTGTTGGTATTATTATTGTTTATGTGCCTGGAATGGGTAATAAAACAAAGTCTCCGGGATGCGACAAGCGAGGCTGATTTGTATGCCAATGGCATCTCTTTCTCGTTCCAGCCGCGCGCTGCAGTGATAATGACCTCATCTCAATCGCGTCTCTCAAAAAAGTAGTTTTTGCGTGCTTTTCGACGACCGCACTCATGATGAGCGCCGCCGACAGAGTGAATGACTTTACGCCAAGCATCCCGATCATAATACTCGCCACACATGAAATGCCAAGAGGAATGAATAAATGTAAAAATTCAATCACGAGCGCACACTCTGAGAACCTGAGAATTATCTTAATTTGTTAGTATTTTTTGCCAATTAGTTTAATTGGTTAACTGTAAGTGTACAGATTTGTGGTTAATCAGCAGTTGGCTAATGATTTCCAGTGGCAAACAATTCAGAATTTATTTAATTTTTCTTTTTAAAACTTCCAGTTTTTAGGTCGTATTATTGACCTCAAATTGAAAGGTCGTACTTAAGCGTGGGAAAATCTTAAGCTGAATATTTAAAATAAATAAAAAGAAAAAAGATATTTCCATGGTGATTGACTGCGTTCAAGATAAAGCTTGAAACTATAGCCAACTAAATATTATGTGATTAACTGATTAATCAATAATAAAAATTTAAACTATTAAAATTAGTGAAGTGCGTTTAAAATAAAACTATTAATTTAATTTTTTTTTAAATATTCAAAAAAATTATTAAAGTAAATTGAAACAACAATTTGAAAAATATAGACACGTAAATGCCAAAAATCAAAAAATTAAGTGAAAACTAACCATTAACTAATTAATATTTGTGTACTAAAAAATTATATTAGAAAAATGCTTAGAATTTTTAAAATCAAACTTTTTTAATTAAAGCATAAATAAAAAGTATAAAATAATTACTCTTTCAGCATTTGAAGATCAAAATTTTAAAGTTTCATCAAGTAATTTTAAATTTTAACTTTCCTTCTGTCATTTCAACATCTGCGCATACCTCCAATTAATTAGCATAACTCCACTTGTTGCGCGCAAACCGTGTTAAGCCGCTGCAGCGCCGCCGACTAAACAAGGGAGCAATAATTTGACTTTCCCGATGGACTCGACTCGTCGATTAATCATTCGCATTGTGCACTTCTTCATCGCACGATGACGTGTACAAATATAATTTTTTTTTCGTTTGGCGGCAACGTCGGGGGGCTTGCCAAAAACGCCGCCGTCGAGCTTTTTTGATGGCACGTTAATGCAAAAGCAGCACAAGAGCGCGCGCGGGATCGGCCGCGGTTTTAATGACGCGGCACGACCGTTGCTAACCGCTGCATTATTCGCGGCCGAATATATGTTGTATTGTTGCTTACTACAAACCGAAATTTTGGCGCGTGGAATAGAAAACAATAAATAAATTATTATGAAAACGAGCCTCTTAAGCATTGGATTGATTATGAATTTAAATTCAATGTTATACAAAATGTAAATTTAAATCAAAATTGAGTGATAATTAGAATAATATGATGAATGATCAAGATTACAAATAATGTATTCGAATTTCTGTGTTAGAATTGTCAAAATGATAAATAAAATAGAGATGTTCACAAATGCAATGTTAAATTTTACAACAATTATTCAAATTTTTTCGGACAATTAAAAAAAAAAAAAAATTCAGAAGCAATTCCACCTGTGGCTTTTAGACCCAACCCTTTTTTGATCTTTAGAATGTTCCCCATAACTATCCCCTTGCTTGCTGCTCCTCCAGTCTCGTCTCACCGAGATCTCCCCAAGGTCAGTCCCCGTCCCTTAACTCCTTCACACGAATGGGCGAGAAAGGCGCCAAAGCCGGCTTACCTGTCAATCGGTGCGGGATTAATCCGGTGGAAAGGCGCTGATCGACGCCGGCCTGTCCGAGCTCACAACTGCACTATTTTGTCCACACTGTTTGTTAACGCGGCGCACAATAAATATTCAATATCTGACCGCGATACTGAGTGCTACTGGCGCAGCATCCCGCGAGACTTGGACGAACGTTCGTGACCGTGCGACGGCTGCGGCGGGTTTGCCGTGGCGTGCCGCGCTATCCCCCTAGGGCCTCCCCACCCCCCGTACCTGCTGCCGCTGCCCAGGTGAATGTACAGTACACGAATGCCTCTCTTCTCTTGCCGAGATGAGAGAAAAATAAAGAGAGGCATTAGTGAGAGAGAGAGAGAGCGCGCGGTAGGCAGCCTCTCCTCGACCAGTTAGTCTCTCTCCATATTTTATGTAATCTTCACTCCTCTCTTTCATTTAATACTAATCAGATATCACGCCCAAAAGAGAATTTTTATTTACCAGTACCACTTTGGACACGACAAGAGAGGGAAAAAAAGAGATTGAGGAAAGATCAAGAAGTATGAAAGGAAAAAGTGCTTGCGGGTGCAGGCAATAAATTAATTAATGTTCGTCTTCAGCACCCTTCAATAAATTTTAATTTAATAATGTCTGTTTAGGAAGTGAATTATGTACGCCCGTATTCGTAAGGCATTAGAAGTAATTGATATTTACGAGCATTGACTGAAATAGCAAGACAATATTCTCTTGGTAATAAGAAGCCTACATTTAAGAATGCATCTCATTGTGATATTGAATTTTTAGATGTCTGAACAATTTACTTTACTTAAAGGTTTTTCTGTGTAAATTAAACAAAAAGAATTATTCGGTGATTTGTTTTTAATAGTTCGTAACTCCCATTTCAATTTGCACCATGTGCAAGTTAACAATTAATAATTTGTATATTTCCCATGTGTGACTTTTTTAGAAGAAATAAGTGCATTATTAATAATCATATATATTCATGTAAATCACGTTTATCACAATATAAGAGAAGCTGTATCCATACAGAAGGTTGGCAATGTCAATCAAACAGGAATGGCTGGCTGGAAGGGAATTTTCTGATTAAACTTAGGAAATCTTATTTCTTCCTTAAAAGGCAGCGAACAGCACAATCGACTATAAAAAATAAAAATGCAGACTGTCTCCCTTGTTCCTCTCCAATGGAAGCAAAAAAGAGAAATGCTACTATATTTTTGAATCTCTGTTAGAAAGAAAATAAATGTTATGCTGGTCACCAAGAATGGAACAGAGGAAAACTTGACTCTGGATCATTTGGTCACTCATCGTCGTTCCTGTCATCCTTGACAGACGAATGGGCCGAGTTGTCCTGCTGCTGCTGATCAGCCGGCTGATCTTCAGCCTCAGCATCACTGGGCCTCCTTGGGCCAGCCCTTTTCTGCTTTGGCTTGGAAGGTTTCTTCTTCAGAATCTGGGACACACTTCGAGCAATCATGTCCTCAGAGATGGAAACGTGAAGCATGTTTCCATGGAACATGTCACGGTTGCACTTCAGCAGCTCATCAGTCATCTTTCGAGAGGTTGTGTAAATGTGGCAGTATGGCCTTAAAAATAACACAAGATTAAATTAAGAATTAAGAAAGAAAAAAAAAAGAAAAACTTTGAGATATTTTTCAACGCTGAGTTCATAATAAAATATTTTTTACTTCATGTCATCAGTCCTGAACTGGACAATGTCAGCAACATCCTTCCTGCCGAAGACCTCCCAAAGTCCCTCCTCAGTCATATCAGGGCCATAGCCAGAGACCACAACGTCCCAAAAGTCTTCAACACCCTCAAATCCTATGTCATACTCAACATCAGGGAGAGGCTCTCTCTTCCCGTCCAGCACTAAGTATTTTAAAATTAATTTCAAATCATTTATAATTATTTAAACTTACAACTTGATTTTTCACTCTTTGGCCTCTGCCTTCCACCGCCACGGTAGAACCGTCTGGTTTGGCCTTTGCCTCTATCCCTGTCACTTCCATTCCACTGTTTTATAAACAAAACGTGTCAGAACAATAATCTAAATATTAACCATATCTAAACAAACATTTGAAGGCCCTTCTACGCCCTCTTCACCACTAGAGAGCTGGTGCTGTCTCTGGCCACCTCCTCGTCCACGGCCTCTGTAGTTACCACGTCCTCCCCTTCTAAATGTGGAGCCTCTTTGCCCACCTCTGTGGTGGCCATCATATCCATCCCCATATTTATTGTCAGCTGAGCCTTAAAAAATTACAAAAATTAATAACAAAATTATTTAAATCAAAGTTCGACACACAAAAAAAAATCAAAGTTTTGATATGATATGGTTTTTATTTGTGTTAGCATTATTTTTGCTTTAATTTTGTGGATTGTACCTGAAGCGTGGTCATCGTGGTAATCACCTGCCTCTTCATGGTTTTGGTTGTTCCCCCGATTTGAAGAAATGGAGAGTTGGGCGGTTTCTTGTGTAACTGAGTAGACTTCGTCGGATCCTGCCATCTAAAATTTGACCAATTTTAAATTTCCAGAATAAAATTTAAACAACTTTGCCAACAGTGAGCACTCCTAACAAAAGTTAAAAGGTGGACACATGTCAATTCATACACGAATAAGTGTAATTTTCTGGAATGGGCGTTGTGAAAAACTTGGTGCAAGAATATGTAATTTGGTTTCCCATTTCCGCATAAAGAGGTACAATCAAGGGTTGAGTTGCCCGATGATGATTTTAAATGAGAATTTTTACCTCTGCCGCTAATGAAGACGAGTTTCAAGCGTCGAATCGTTTAATCGCTGCTAATCGAGATAAGAAAATAAGCCTTCATGCCGGTCCGTAGTGTTCAAATTTTGTATGGCCGCTTTGCTTTACAAGTTTTCTCTCGCACATAGGCAAACAATGATTAATGATCGATGATTTACATGCGGCTGTGATTCGAATAATTCTTTTGAGGCATCTACATATTACTGGTTGCCAATCTAGTAATAGATAATGCACGTTTTTATTTTTATATAATTATTGGCCTGAACTTAACGATACTTAATACAATTTTGATTAAATTTTGAACTGCACAAAATAAAATTAAATCTTAATTTGAATTATTATTTAGCTATGAAAAATCAGCTCTCTAAGCTCGCCTTAATAAAGCCATAAAATTGGCTTTGAATTAAATTTTTAATATATCCATATTATACATTATGTATCATTGTTAGTAACTGATGCACATTTCAAGTCTCTCAAAAGTCTTGCACTCCCTGAAGCGCGATTTTTTTTTTAATTTTTTTTTTTATATTTATATTAGCTTATTGGAAACTTACATTTATTCAAAAACAAAAAGTTAAAGAGGTGTTTTAATTATAATTTAAAACGACTTAATTTTATTAAACTATATTCGTTTTAAGCCCACGTCTCTGTCTGGTATCGACCCGATTTTTCTAAATTTGACACAAATGCTTCAGCCTCCTCAAGGGACAAACCACCTTCTTTCTGGCCAATTTCAACTACGGCATCTCTGACACTTTTGGGCATATTTTTTGAATTTCCAGCAACAAAAAAGTGAGCACCGCCTTTGCTCAGCAGGTCCCATATATGAGAAGACTCCTCCAGCATTTTATGCTGCACATATCTGAAGAAAAAAAATATTAATCACATGGTGACAAGGATTAACTTTTTTTAATACATTTTATGAGACTGGTCCTGGGAAAAAGCACAACACAGCTTGATAATTCCAGACGCATCATATTTCTTCCATTCCTCAGCACAGTGAAAGTCTCCCTCCTTGTTTCGACATCCGAAAAATAGGACAATTTTGCCTTTGTTATCAGGGTTAAGTGCAGCTCTTTGCTGGATGAGACTGCGAAAGGGTGCACAGCCAGTTCCGGGACCAACACAAATTATTGGAGTTTCCTTGTAAATTTAAAAAAAAAAAATACATCCAGAGTACCAGTTTTATAAATGAACTCACAACGGTGGAAGGAAATTTAAATGAGCCTGTTTTAACCCAGACGGACAACTCCGACGAGGGTTCCAATCTTGCCATCCAGTTCGAACAAAGGCCCAGTCTTGCAGTTTTGAGCATAGTGCGGTAATTGACCACAGCCACTAACAATTCGGCCGTATTTGGGTGCATCTGCAGAATTCAAGTTAAATAAATTTGCAGGTATTAATTAACTTAATAATCATACCTCAAGAGCAGAAGCAATAGAGAAAGCTCTGGGTCTAATGACCTTGAATATGTCAAAGAGATATTCAACTGGAAGGGCTGCCAGGGCGTGCGGAAAATCCTCCAGCACCTCCAAAGTACCTCGTTTTGGTCGGTGGGCGTAGCTGTACAAATCTTGTTGGCCCTCCGGAGTGCAGAATTCGAGCAGCCGCTCCTTTTCCAGCTCACTTGTTGTAAAGTGGGCCATTAACTGAAGGCAGTACCTTTGAGGAATGGCCTGCAAGTCAAGAAGGTTCTGCACACAGTCAGCAACTGTGCACGGATTCGGACACATCCAACTTGGAGGCAAAGCAATTGGAAATTTGTCATCTGTTTGGTGCAACTCGATGACATCTTGTCCGCAAAGATTAAAAATTTCCAAAAGGCGTTGGACGTTTTCTTTAAGATTTTTGGGTTGCACCATCAAAACATCTCCAGGTTTGTATTGAATTCCAGGCACAGAAATTTTCAGTAGCCGGACATCCTGTTTAAATAAATTATTTAAACGTTTCAATTATTTCAAATAAAAAATACTTGATAATGACTAGGACTTGTTGTTCGCTTATTTTCTTCAAGGGTTGCTTTTAAAATTGTGGATTTCTCCAGGCTGGGCTTCTCACTGATGGGAGCTGCATCCTCCTTTTTGGTAATTTTAATTTTGTATCGCAGCGGACGCATCTCAAACGGACTGAAAAATTTTATTTTTTTCTCTTTCCTCCTAAACATGGAAATAAACATACTTGAATTCACTCTTTCCATCGAGGGGGTGAATTTTATCTAGTGCATCCCACAGCGTTTTGGTCCATGGCCCAACCACAGCGTCTGGGCCAAGTTCATGCTGGTCATCTCCAAGGCCGACAGCCAGAATTGAATCTCCACCCAACTGGGCCAGTCTCTTGTTCAGTCTTTTGGCCACAAAGTTGAATTTGGCGTATGAAGAGTCTCCGAGTCCTAGGACTGCGTACTTCAATTGTGTTAGAGATGTTGGTGGCAAACTGCGTTGCAAAAGAAACTTCCAAAACATCTTCATGTTGTCCGGCTCTTCTCCCTGTCCGGTCGTTGAGCAAACGAAAATGCAAACTTTTTGTCGAAGGAGTTCAACTGGCTCGATCTCATCCATGGCCTTAACAGGACCATGCCAATTGCGTCTGGATAAAAGATTGGTTCATTAGTTTAATTAGATTGAGAGTCAATTAAATTTTCTGCGGTGTGGACCTTTTTCCATCTCGCCAAATTTGCTCAGCAACTTCTTGAGCAGTTCCAGTCTGGCTGCCGTACAAAATGAGAAGACTTCTTTCTTCAAACGTCATTTTTAGGGGCCTTAAAAACAACAAAATTTATTAAATAATTGTATCTAGTTTCATACATATTTATTTTTCAAAGTGCACTTCTTGTAACAAGTGGAGCAAAAAACAGATAATTTTGTGTATTTCTTGCTATCTTAAATTTTACGAATGAAAAATTGTCAATTCGAATGTTGAGAGTTTAAATTTTAATTGATAAACACAGAATTGCTAAGCACATAAAAATTATAACACAAATGTTCACCATGCAGTGCTCACAGCGTTTTCTCTTTTGTTGACAGCAACCAGCTGGGCCAGTCGAAAAGAGAGGATGCGAAGTCACGTTAGTTCCATATTTTGCCGCATGGAACGATATACTAAAGCAATTCAATGATATGATATCTCAGTTTAGATTTAAAGTTTAAATATTATTATATATCTTTCCAGCGTCACAATTATTATTGCTAGAGCAGTAGTGGAAATAAATGTAGAGCTACATTTAGTTGCAAATTGTGTTTATTGATATATCACAAAGGCAATTGCTGCCCATAACGGGATACATCATTCATACATTCAAAATTATACAAATTCAATACAATTGAGAGAAAAGATTTATTTCCACTAATTAACAGAGTTATCTATTGTATGGTGCGTGTGGAGAATTTTCCACGCCATAACAAAAATTTAAGTTTTTCCGATTTTTTTATTAAATTTTAGATTTGAAAATTCACTGACTAATTAAAAGAAAAGCAAAATTATCAAATAGTCTTTTAATTTGATTATATACCTGGTGAACGTTATTACACTATTGTGCACTATTGCATTAAAAAGTCACACTCTCAATTAATACAGCTCTCTTCTTTTCTAGGTTTAAAACATTTTTAACAGTAACTTCGAGTAATTTATTCACAAGCATTTTTCCTACGTGTTTTAAAGCGGTATAAATAAGTTTTATAAAATATTGCCAGAGAGAAGGCAACGAAAGATTAATCATATAGACATATTGGCTCAAATTTAGTGTATCAACATCTTGCGTCAATTACTTTGAAATAGCAAGAAAATAAAAACACTAATGCTCCTCACAGATAAGCTGTATTTTTTCTATTCTTGAGATTTCAACCATAATAATAAAAGAAATATAGCAATAGTTAAGACCTGGTTTTGTGCGCATTAGTTCTTCTTTATCTTTTAATATGAGTCAAACATGCTTTAAACAAAACTTAGTAATTTGCTAATTGATTTGCCTTACTTAGGTCTAAGGCGGTTTATAGTCTAGCTCTTTCACTTTAACTCCCCGCGTATTTTGAAAGAGCAAAAAAAACATGCTATTTTAGATGCAATCACGTGTTTGAAAAGGAAAGTTTATTAAAATATTTGTATGTAGTTCATACCATTTTTTGAATTAAATTTTCCTTGTAAACTTCGTCTAACAAAGAGCCAACATCAAATGAGCATGGCTGAGGATCCTGGTGATAAAAAATTTTCCTCAAAGGAGTAAGTGGTGCGTAATCTTATCATGACTTTTTGACGTGAGTCTGGCTGGACTTAACGCAGAGAGCAGCTCGTTTGATCACACACCTAGCTCTTTATACAAAGCAGCGCGTGTTTGCTCATGAGGTGTGAGAGTATAATGCGTTGGTGGTGACGCGAAGACGAGGCGCTCAAGTGCACGGCTGGCCGATCAGAGGGAGGTTTTAGTCACGAAATTCACCTTTTCAAATCGTCTGCCACTCTTCTTTGTACGGAAAAATCATGATTGTTGTGCGCAGAAGAAATTTCTTGTTTTTTCTCATCGCTCTGGTAGTGATTTGTGCTACTTTTTCTTTCCTCTCGAGCAACAATGCCAGGTAAAAATAAATAATTAATTTTGTCAATCTACATTATTACATACATTTTTCAGATACCCACCAGACATGATGATTTCAAACAATTTTTACCAGCAGTACTTGAAACAATGCAAGCCTCAGGATCACATTTTCTTTCTGAAGACTCATAAATGCGGGAGCTCCACTGTACAGAATATTTTAATGAGGCGTGGTCTGCGTAATGGACTGAATTTTGTTCTGCCCGAAAAAGGTAATTTACATCTCTTCTCTCTACTCAATGTAGTCAATTTCTAAATAATCCCAAACTGTTACAATGTCAAATGTTTTTGATTATTTTTTTGTTAATTTAGTATTTTTCAAACAATTTAATTAAAATAAAATAATCATTGCTCATAAATTTTTAATAATATGCCTAAAATAAAGAATATTTTCTCTGAAGATCCCATTAGTCCCAAGATAGATAATAAAATCACATAATGTTTTAAATTTCATTTATATTTGTTTCTTCTTGTCGGTCAAAAATAATTTAAATTGGGAAAAAAGAGATCATTATCAGAACTTCGAAAAAATTAAATTTTTCATTCAGTATTTGCTGGCGAAAATGCTTGTAATGAGATGATTTTTTTACACAGCAAACTATCTGGGACATCCTGATAGGTTTCATGTCTCTCAAATCGGCAAAGACTTGATGGACAATTACGAGCACTTTGACATTTTTGCGCACCACTCGCGTTTTGACCCTGAATCCGTACGGAAGGTGATGCCCCCGGACACTAAGCGGGTCACAATTTTGCGAGAACCGTCGTCTCTTTTTGAATCGCTCTACCATTACTACTCGCTGCAGCAAGTTTTCAAAAACGAATCCCTTGATTTGGGCACATTAATGAAAATCGAATTGGAGCAAATCATCGAAATGTTCAGCAACGCTCCCCGACTGGCGTACAGGATCGGCGTCAACCAGGTCAGATGATTGCTTTGTTTGAACTTTTTTCCACTAGGAAGCGCGTGCCAGAGCAATGCAAACAAATTGTGTTTTATGGCTGTTTGTATGCTTATTCCAAATAATCATACATTCCTGTTTGTGAGTCGCTATATGAAAGGCATGAAAACTAATTAGTAATGCCTTGTTTGAAGAATGTTTTCCATTAAATTATTCTCATAGGTATAACTGATATTCTGTTATCTACCCACATGTTTAGAATTAAATCTATACCTATCTCATCTCCAGACAGTCCCACAAACAGAAAACATATTTTTTCAATTAAATTTAACGGGCCTATCAATTGGAAAGTAAGAAATTTATTGCATATCTGATATTCTGATAATAGTGTGAGATGTTTTAGTTACAAGTTTCTGATCAGATGTTCGGCATGATAACAAAATTAGTCTTCTTAACTTTTAGTGCTATTGCATGCTTATCAAATAGTACTAACAATTAATTTTATAAAAAACACTTCATGATCAGTTGATGATATGGGGATTGGGCCAGTGACTGATTAGTTAGGCGCAAGTGAATCTTTTATGATTCAATCAATTGCGACTGTCAGAAATAATCTTTGTACAAAATTTTTAAACTTCGATTTTGTTGTTGATCAGAAACCAATTTCCAGATGGCATTTGATCTAGGATTTTCAAGAAGTAATTTCAATGATGACGAAAAAATCGCGGAGTTGATTGAAATGATCGAGGCGGAATTTGATTTGATCCTAATTTCTGAGTTTATGGAGGCGTCGATGGTGCTCCTGGCCGACTTAATGTGCTGGCCCCTGGAAGACTTGACCTTTCTCACCCTAAACGCGCGTCCAACCGGATTGCACCACACGCCTTTATCGGCGGACGACAAAGTCAAGATAAGAACGCTCAATAAAGTCGACACCGTCATATACGACCACTTCAGGTGAGTATCCTTTCAGCCTTTGTTTTTATTCAAATGATTTAGATTTCGCAGAAACAAAACAACTTGATTAGTGTTAGTAGAAATGGCTGATATCAAAAATGCTTAAGCTTCTTTATGATACAAGATGCTTAATTCCTAATTAGGGCTTTAAAAGTGCATATAATGATTTATATTCTTTATGTGGTGGACTTTCTAGTTTTTACTTTTTTTTTGTAAAAGCAGTTGTATTTTTAATTCTTGTAATAAGGTATATATTTACGGTGAAAAGGTTAAAAAAAATTATTTTAGGAGAAAGAAAAAATATGTGAAAAGGAAAAGTTTTAGTACCAAAAATTATTAGATTTATTTTTTACTAAAATCAATTACTAATTTATACGGAAATTTCAAATTGTTTTTGCTTTTTCCTTCTTACAAAAATTGCATTGACAATAAGCGTAGAATGAGAAGATTATTCATTTAAAATTGTTTTTAATAACATTTTTTAATATTATAATTTCAGAGAAAAATTTAAAACGCGCGTGGTGGAATATGGGGCCGATCGGATGATGGAAGACGTGGCACGATTGGCGAAAATGAACAACGACATGATGCACGAGTGCGTGGCCAACATCATTGAGCCCAAAGCAAACGCCTCGGCGCTCAAATACTACCCTGTCAACCGATATGAATTGTACAACGATCCACCCATGCACTGCAGGGAATTGACAATCTCCGAGCTGAAGTTCACCGACTTCTTGAGAAACAACCAGAGAAGCAAATTTGGAGCCAAGTTGAAGCTAGACGTGTTTCTGCACACGTGAAATATAAAGAAGCAGAAAAAGACCCTTGACGTCGTCTGGTGCATGTACTAGACAATAAGATTTTGCGCTATAAGCTCTCGCGAAACGGGAACAAGAAAAAAATAATGCCAGGAGAGTTGCACAATAGTGTAGACAACTGCCGGCTCTATTATGTGCACATAGGGAAGTTTGCGCTTGGAATTAAAAATAAAACGCAGAAGCTCTTTTCTCATTTGAAAAGTAAATCAGGCGCGCCGTAGCGCAGACACATTCGGTGCAAATGCAGCTCTTTTTTCACACGTTACGATATAAAACTTCCGCTGTATGATATGTGAAAAGTTGTTTTATAATGAAACTCTCATAGGACTTTAAAGTGCTGATAATTGTGTTATGCTGTTTGTCTAAAATGTAAATCGATTTCGTCAACATTTTAATTTATGGTTACCTAAATGAAATTTCACTTTCACTCATTGTTTACTGAATAATGATAAAATGCTATATTAGAAACTAAATGTGAACGGAATTTATTTTGGGTGAAAAAAATTTCTCTTATTTGCTCTCATTGTAGTCCTTTAGATTTTACTTAATATTTTTTAATTAATAGAAAATGAAATTGATTTATTTTTAGAAGCAATAGTGTGTTTAAAAATGTGCGTTTTGGACTGATTTTCTCAAAAGGTTATGAATGAGAATGAGAAATAACTAATACTTAACAATAAAGTGTATTTTTAAATTATCTATTGCGTTTTGTAGTAGAAGTTCACGATCGAGAGTTGATTCATGGTGATTTGAATTTAAATTCAGCTTTTCATCGATGGGTTTGTGTGAGTTTTTATTGTTTAAGAAAAAACAATATGACATGTAGAGCAGGATATTGTTTTTTCTTAAACAATAAAAACTCACAAAAACCCATCGAGGGAAAAAGCAGAATTTAAATTCAAATCACCATATCTATTGTATTGTTTCTAATCAAATAAGAAATCTAATAAAAATTTGTATATTTTTTAATTTTGATTTGTAATTTATCATTTATCTACTGTTCATTTTCATGCATTTTGGATAAATTGTAGTAACGTTAGATAATCAGATTATATCATCAACTTTAATTTTTTATACTCCATCTGTGATAAAAGGAAAAAGGATAAATTGATCATGGGAGGTTCTGGAGAGCATCAGAGCGGAAAATCGATTGACGTGAAAAGGCACTCGCCAATTTATGAAAACAGTGATCTCTTTTTATCCATTTAATACATATTAGAGGAGCCGCTGACTCTCTAAACTTCCTTCAAAAACACATTCATTCAAAAAGCTTCCCCACGTCGTCATCCGACAACCTCGGAAAATCACATCAATAAAACCAGCGCTCTACGACTAACGTGATTATTTCGACAGCGCGCAGAATTTTCTGCACATTAGCACGCTAAGGGTGGTACCGGAAGAAGGGCAAAATAATTGTATAGAGTTGTGGAAAAATCTTTTCCATTTTTATTTGGATCACTCTACGTCAAAAATGACAACTTAGATTGTTGCGAATTGATTGAAAATATTGTCAGACTTTGAGATTGATTATTACAATACATAATTAGACTTTTTCTTTGAATCTCTGTATTTCTGATCACTTATAATAAAAAATTTTAATTGACTTTCTCTACCATCAACGTTTTGAAATTTTTTTATGAGCGATTTTGACAATATAATTAGTACAAGATTTATTAGAAACTTGCAGCATAATACATGATTTTTTTAAATATTTCTTTGAAATGCACTGTTGTTTCATCAATATTAGAACAAATTAGAATATATTATTTGGTAGTTTTATGTTACTAAATAGGAATATGAATAAAAAAATTACTTTTAAAATGCTCACTGAGGCAAACGGGGTTATTTTTAGAAAAAAAATTGATACTGGTGGTGCTGTTTTATCATAAAATTCATTTTTCTCAAACTATTATTTTCAAAAATATAGTAAATAATGTGGTTGCAACAATTAGATGAATGAACAAGAATATAATTAATGTACAATAATTTTTTTCCAACATGACTTAATCCAGGACTTTTTCAAATAGATAATAATGAACGTTAAAAATGGAGATTAAAAAGTCAGTAAAGTCACCATAAGTTTTTAAACAAGTTTTATCCAGTATATCATAGTCATGACATGCAGTTCATGAACCATAGCAGGTACGGGGGCAGCGAACGAGATGTCAGTAGCGCTGCTCGGCTGCGAGCGGTCCAGGCGTGCACCAAGTCTTACCCGCGGCTCATTCGTTGTGCGGCGCGATGGAGCGCGTGTGGAAGAGAGTGGCCCTCTCTTCGTCCAAGAAGCACCGCGGTGAGGCCAAAAAGAGCGCTGACGACTCGCGGAGGCCGTCGTGTTACCGCGTGGCCGCCTCCAAGCAGCCGCCCCCGGTCAGTGAAAAAGTGCCGCGTGACTTTATGTGGTGTGACTTGGTGCAGAACAACGCGGCGGCGGCGACGACGACCGGCAGCAGCGACTCGCCCCAGTCGCCGCCGCCGCCACCTGCGGAACCGCCCCCGCAACGCCACCCCCGCAAGACCTTTGTCATCAACTTGGACTCCAAAATCATGATGGACCTGAACCCCAAGGCGCTGACCAAGCGTTTCTGCAGCAGGGCCGGCAAAAGCAAGAAGAACAAGGACAACGAACTCTATCGAAGCAATAGTTTCAACTTCAAGAGATACGAACGACCTGTCGAGGACATCCCGGAAAATAAGGTAGGCGGCTTTTTATACAAATTTATTTAAGATCATTGTAATTTTCAAATTTTTAATGATGAGAGAGATTTTAATATGAGATTTTTGAACCAATTATTCAAGCAATTCAATTTATTTCAAAACAATCAATAATAATAGGTGCTAAATGTGACGTATTACATTAAATATCTTAATATCATAGCAATTAAGGGAAGTGGAACCCTCTCAAAACCTGACGTGTGGAGGGCCATTACAGTTTTTAATTTTGTAGGTAGGAAAATAATTATCATAAAAAAACAGCTGTTTGCATTATTTTTTTTTTGACCACCATTATTTAGATACTTCTGTATTTTATAACTGTCATCATACAGATAGAAACCCACGCCAATTTTTGAGATTTGATCAAAAAAATAATAATGAAATATATTTAAATCAAATTAATTAAGATAAATTAATTATTAAGTGATTTATTTAACAAAAAAACAATTGCAACGATGCTTAAATTGCTTATCAGAAAAGTAATTGCAATTTAAAATTCATTTCCTCTGTAGAATATTTTTTTTTTTTTAATTCTTAAAATATGGTCTCCTTTAATTTTTGGAGCAAATAAAGCAAGCAATTACATGCTACGATTTTGAATTTTAAAATATGCCATCAAATTAAAAAAAAAAATGAAATAAATCCACAGTGTTTAAATAATTTAATAATTATAACAATAGAAAATTTTCCAATCAATGTATATGTTATGAAATTGTTCAAAATTACAATTAGATGCTTTGTAAATTTATAAAATTTGGTAACAAAAACTTGTGTTGATTTACCTAACAATGGTCATTGTCTCCTTTGTACTAATTACCTCCTTTTGCGTCGCTCCCAAAAGACTTTTCATGTACAAAGGCGTGGGCGGACGTTGCCTTACAATTTTCGGCGTGCATCACACCCTGCCTCTTTGTGCTGCCTTCCTCAATAAGCTCGCCAGCGGACTAATTACTTCTGCTCCTGACAATTTTCCGGGCTGAGACACGTTTCAAAAGAAGCCGAACAGTTTTGAAACAAATTATCCCTGCACTCGAGAAGTAATTGGGAAAAGATTAACGCGATCTAATATATGATGGAAATTCGCTAAAAACTTTTTACGCTAAGGGCAAACTTCCTATCCCACCATCGGGACGAATAAAATTATTATCCTCTCACAAAAAATGAGAAAAGAAGAGGAGAAGGTATGAAAACTTTTCTTCGAGAGTAAAATAAAACGCGGCTAAAAAAAACAATCCTTTGCGCTGGAAAAGTGCCGGTGAAGAGAAGAAGAACAAAAAAATGTGGCCGGAGAGAAATGAGAGGCGCCAGTTTCTCGACGAATAAGAAAGTTTCCTTATCAAGCCCAATGGGCACGGAAATCGATTTCGGCGCTGCCAAAATTGTTCCTGTTTCCAGCCACCCGCCGTTCCGCCTCGTCGGCCACTTGATAAATTTGATTTACTCCTCTGGTAGATTTGTTTCATGTTGGCCGAAAGTTAATCAAGCTGTTGGATTTAAAGCCCCTATCCAAAGAGCAAAGGGCCCCTCCCACCGGGCAAAATTTAAGCAAGTACATAAAAGTCGCCCTTCTGTGATGACGAGAGATGATTATGGCTAAGTGAGAGTGAGTCACTACTAAGCCAGATCAAGAATAATATTGACACAGGAAGTTGATCGCCCGGTTTATAAATTTATCTATATAGAGATGAACTGAGCACCAGTCTTTGTGCTGCGCTCTTTAACAAGGGTGAGGGCTGTTTATTGGGCGCGTGGATAAATAAATATTAGAGCAGAGCACGCCCTCGCCATGCAATAAATGTAATAATGTCAGCTGCTCACGCAGGAAAACGGCTTATCACGCACTTTTTGCCCCTGCGGCTGCTGTCGGCAGAGCTCTGCGTTCGGGAATAGAGGAAAAAATCTTATCACGTAAAGCTGCGAGTGATGCTCTGCGGCTTAAATGGCGGTAAACTGATATTTGAGATCTTCCAGGTGAGTAAAAAACGATGATCGTCATAACCGATAATATAATCTGCATGGTGCTCAATTTTGCCAGCAGATGAACTGAATTTGGAATTTTAAATTCAATCTTTTTGTTAATAATTACCATAACACTATTTTAACGAGTTATTTTTTTTACTTTTAGATGCAAAATATTATAAACAACTAGTTTTATTTAATGTAATATATAATCAAAAGTGTTTATTTATGTGATAATTGATTTTAAATTACAAATTTAAATTTTTTTACAAATTATTGTTTGTTTATATAACATTTTATTAAACAAGATATTTTAAAAACAAGTTTTAAATAAATATTTTTTTTTCAATTTGTTTAATTAATCAAATTAAATTTCATGACTTCTTACAAATAATGAATTCATTACTCAAGGATTAATTGAAGACGAGCGCGATTTTCTCCAGTCACGATACGATTGAGAAAATACACCATGAGCAAGCAGCACAGGACGCTAATTATATTTTAATTGAAGCGCGTTCGCGCGGGCCTAAAATCAATTATCTTCTCTGAGAGAATATTTGCTCCGGGAGTAAAGCTCGTCGGCATTGTTTATCCAGAGAGAGAGAGAAATAAGAAGTTCAAACTCCATTCATCGACGCACTATAGCTGCTGCTACGCGTGTAAAAATAATTGTTCTTTATTGTTTTATTGGAGGCCTATGGAAGGATGGGAAAGCGTTGTGGAGCCGCGCGTTTTCAGTGTGGGAAAATCAAAGCAGCCAAAAGTGCTTCTTTTCTTATGCTAATTCTTCGCACCCAGAGGGCTTTCTTATCAGCCAGAGAACATCACCCTCGTTCGAAAACGAATTAATTATCTCTCTCCGTATTGGTCTTAAAGCGAATGGATCTTTCCAAAGAGTTGTAAATTAAATTCCCTTCAAATCGAGTTAATTTGACGCGTCACGCAACTCACACAATGAGAGCAAAAATCTCGTCTGGAAATGAGCATTTTTAACGTTGCATTTTTCTCATTTGGGTCTTTTTGACATGTTATTGTCCTTGAGACTTGCAAATTCCAAAGACGAGAGGAAACGAGCTCAAATTTGGAGATTTTCCCATGATACCGCGACTTGGATGTGTAAAAATGTTTTTTTTTCTGGTGAGGGGATATCAGATAACCTCTTGAGCACATTCCATTAAACGTAGCTGGATGAACGAAAAATACGATGAGCTGCTGTGACAGTTTCGTTGACCATAATTTATTTCCGATTGAAAAAGTGTCACGCCTATGAAAGTTTTGTTTACTAAAGAAGACACTTTATAAGAAATCCAATAGTTTTCTGACGTTATTTTATGACCTAAAAATATTTTTTTGTGCCATAAAATACAACAACCATGAAAAAATTAATAACTTTAGAAGGGACTTTAGAAGAACTAAAATTAAATAGAAAACTGATTATTGATTGACAATGGCAAACAATTATGACAAGATGAAGATAATTTTTAATGGTGTCTCATTCCACTTTATTAGTACATAAACTCATAAAACTACTAAAAATTCACAAAATTTAATGCTAAAACACTTGAGGTGGATTTCATTTGATACGCGAGGTTCGCCCTGTTTCACTAACAATTTACAACCTGCCATATTCTCTTTTCAATATTTTATTCAATATTATAATTGCAATTTATAAATAAAATTATTTCATATTTTCACTATAAATTATATTTTTGCGGGTATTAATAGTAATTTAAGAAAAAAAATGAAACATCATAAATCACGAATTCTTTGTTTTGTTTATTTTTTCTATGTGTGCCACGTTAAAAATAAATTAATTTATATTTATGAATAGAAAGTAGTTTGCCGACTTAAATGCAAGAAAATATAAATCTATGGCTAAAAATAAATACTCGAAGAAGGTAACAGGAAAGAGAAAAAAGGTTGAAAGAGGTGCCGTCCAAAAACGCTGGAAGGTGTTTTGCATAACACAACCGGTGACTCCAAGTTCATGACGTGGAGGGCCCGCTCTTGATCCTTGCGGTACCACATGTCGAAAAACAACTTTTTCGCTGAATCTCCAATGACCTGGCGTAACATAGGCGGCCGTATCAAGTAGGCCAAATAGAAGGAGCCAGAGCTTGAACATGTATCTGTTCTTCGTAAAAAGACCCAAAGGATTTTTTAACGTCACGATTCAATTTTTCGGCGACACTCGTTAATTCTTCCACTTGAGAAGGTCGCGGGATATTAACTGTTAAGTGTCTCCAATGATAATTAGTGTGCATGGCCAACCACAGATCGTTGGAGCAATTTTTAGCGCATCATTCTACTTTCTTGCCGCAAAAATGTTTTTGCAATTTTTTATTTTTTATCCCTTTCTTTTCATCCTGCTTCTTTCGGCATGGACGAAGAGATCAAACTGTTACAAATACTAAACCGTCAATTACCTTCACCTTTTTCTACTTAATGCTCGTCACATAAAATTTTACAACTCGTCCGACAGCTTTACTTTCATGCAGTAAATAAGCGGTTCTTGCTTGCTTAAGTCTGACCAAACCATCAAAAGGCAATTATTTATAATCAATTCCAATGAGACTCTGATCCAAAAAGAAAAACCGCTTGGACTAATATCGAGAATTCAAATTTTGCAATGTCGTTTTTTATCAATTTGATTTTCATACAATAAATTTGAAGTTCTTACGACCAAATTATTTTAATTAGAAAAAAAACTTGAAACTCTGCCCGGAGCTTAGATTGCAAAGTATAAAGAAGTTGGTCAAGTGTAACTTTGTAAAATCCGCTCCAAGTTGAGTGCACAGCGAATAAATTGCTGCCGACTCCGGGAATGATCGTAAATTATTAACCTTTCCGCTAAATTACCGGCGCTTGCCGCGCGTTTCTACTTTAATTTATTTCGGGCCACCCGAAAGCTCGTTTCAACCCGGCTGCGGCAGATGTGGCTGAAATGCAAAATACATAACACGCCACGTTGCGCCCCTTTGCTGGTGCGAAAACTTTGCTTCCCTGCTCAGCTGTGAACTGTG